TGTTTCTTCCCACGGAAGCCTGCTTGAGACTCCAGATCCAGGGTTTTTATCATGGGCTGGTGATGTAGGCACTCTGCCTGTACAACTAGCCATGATTACCGAAACTCCAAGCTCCTAGAAGGAAAGCAGGTGTTCGTTATAAATCACACTGTTTGCTCGGTCTAGGCAAGCTGGTATAGCCGGACTCAGTGCCCCAGGCAGGTTTCTTATCACTTAGACATGTAGGCAGCACTCTAAAAGCCAGTTTCTCAGATGTCAGCCAAGGGTCACCCCCACAAGCAGGTCCTTCCAAAGAGCAACATCGGGCCTGCTGCACATGTACAGTCAAGTCTTTGGACCATTTTAAAATTGGGTTTTAGTCTTTTTTTTTTTTTTTTTAATTGTTGGTTCTTTTTTTGTTTTGCTTTGTTTTGTTAATTCTCACCTGAGGATGTTTTTTCCACTGATTTTTATGGAGAGTGGAAGGGGGTGGGGAGGGAGGGAGGGAGAGAGAGAGAGAGGGAGAGAGGGAGAGACACATGAGAGACGCTCATTGATTGGCTGCCTCCCCCACGAGCCCTGACCAGGGTCGGGGGCAAACCTGCAACCTAGGTATGTGCCCTTGACCAGGAAGCAAACCCATGGCCCTGTGGTGCGCAGGCCTACGCTCTAACACCTGGGTGACACTAGCCAGGGCAAGAGTTCTTTATGTATTCTGGACACCAGCCACTTATCAGGCATACATTTTGCAAATGTATTCTCCAACTTGTCTTCCACTTTCTTAGGGGTGCCCCTAGGAAGGCATTTAGACAGGGGAGTAATATGACCAGATTTGCACACACACAGAACTGCTTTGTGGAGAATGAACTGCAGGGGCCAGGAGTGGCTGGGGAGGCCACTGCAGGGGCCCAGGTAGGAGGTGATGGTGGTCTGGATTGGGAGGTGACAGGATGGGGGAATCGGGCTGCGCGTGAGGATGTGTATAAGACTGGCAGGCATGCCAACACTCGTGGGTCTCCAGCAGGAGGAAGGTGTGGCTCCCCAAACTTGTCCACAGGACACAATATTATTACTGTTTTTCATAGCGAAACTACCATGAATCTGTGGATTTTAGAGTTTTGATCATTTGGAAAAGGTGGGACCAGATGAATTTTAGGATCCCTTCTAGTTTTCAGTCTACGGTGCCACGAACACGTCCCTTTGGGGTTATTTGAACAATTCTAAACTATTCTGCACTACGTGCCTAGGTGCATTATTACGGATTGTTTATTAGTCACACACATATATCTATAATGCTGAGTTCTGGCCCAAGAAAATGACTTCATGCCTGAAACTGAACGCAGTCTGTGCATGGAGGCCTTTGCAAAAAGTGGGGGCAGGAACACTTGGCACGGGGAGTGCGAGGTCGAAGACAAGGAGAGTCATGTTCAGGTGCTAACCCAATTACCAGACGCACCCTGCAAATCTGGAGCGCTGTCGGTTTCGAATGGAATTTCACATCGTTCTGTCCCAAATGACACAGACAGTATTATAAATGAAAATTTCTTTCCTCAGCCTGGGATACGGAGCTCCTCTCATTCGGTAGCGCATGCTATCACAGGAGAACCTTTATTTAAGGCTGGAAATTCTATTTACCCAGAAGCTCAAACCACTGTTTTTCTCTTCTTGCAAAATAAAACAAAATACCCAGGCAAACCAGATGCAAAGAAGGCCCGAGGGAATGGAAAGGAATGTGAAATCAGGTATGCAGGTCAGAGTCAACACAGTAAATCAGGAGCACAGCAGTGATACATATTTTGACTCCTCTGATACTAACAGAGGGAGGCTATGTGAACCAATGGAGCAAAGTGAGAGAAATACATATGTGAGTGTGTGTTTGTATGCGTATGCGTTGTTTTATTTTAGAAGTGGACAATGTAAAGGCTCAGAAATGAATGTTTTGCGTGGTGGGAGCCCCATGATACAGTCATAAATCAGGCAGATGCTTTCTCCTCCAGGCCTGGTGCCCTGAGCCTATAGAAAGTCTGGACAGGGAGATGTTGACATGCAAGGACACTAGCTATCAGGTGCATGCCATAATAATAAACCCTTTCTTTTTTTTTTAAAAAAAAGATTTTTATTGACTTTTAGAGAGAGGGAAAGGGAGAGGGATAGAGAGAGAAACATCGATGAGAGAGAAATATCAACTGGTTGCCTCCTACACTCCCCCTACTGGGGATGGAGCCCGTAACCTGGGCATGTGCCCTGACCAGGAATCGAACCAGTGACCTCCTGGTTCATGGGTTGATGCTCAACCACTGAGCCACCCAGGCTGGGCAATAAACCCCTTCTCACGGAGGTGATAATGAATCTAGCTTATTTTGCGCTTTCCTGCCTCAGGGTGTTAGTACATGCTGTTCATTCTGAAAGCCAGAGGCCTCAACCCATCCCCAAGTCTTGTGAATTCATCTTTCAGGTGAAACGCATCTTCTCTTCCCTGCCATCAGGGTGAATCCCTCACGTTTTATGGGGTCTAAGCTTTGTACAGTTTTGAAGGCCCTTTTCAGAATAAGAATAGCAATTATGAATGTGAAAGTCAGGCTTCCCAAGGGTGTTGGGAAGGGCCTGGGCAAGTGAAAGGCGAGAGCTTACGCTTCTTGGTGAACCTGCTGCCTCTCGCTGTCGAAGCACATGGTGTATCTGCCATCAGAGCCCTCATCACCGTTTGCAATCATATGTTTAGTCCTGTGAATACCGGACTCCTGTCCACCTTCCCAGTGGACTGTGAGCTTTCGGAGGGGAGAGACTGTTTTGCGCATTATTATACCCCTTGGGTTTAGCCTAGTGCCTGGCACCTGAGAGGTTCTCAATAAATAGGGTCTAAATAAATGAATCCTTATTTTCTTTTTTAAAATTCTCACCTGAGGATATTTTTTTCCATTGCTTTTTAAAGAGAGTGGAAGAGGGGGGAGAGAGAAACAGATGTGAGAGAGACACATTGATTGGTTGTTTCCTGCATGAGTCCCGAAGGCCGGGGATTGAACCCGCAACCGAGGTATGTGCCCTTGGCCAGAATCGAACCCGGGACCCTTCAGTCCACAGGCCGATGCTCTAACCACTGAGCCAAACCAGCTAGGGCACTGAATTTTGAATTATAATAATCAAAATCATAAAACTACTAGCTTCCACTCATTGACATTTGCCACTTGCCAGGCCCTAGATGACAGTTCTGAGGGTACAGGTATGTTGGAAGCCTCAGCCTATAAAAACGGGAGAGAAAGCCATGATGCGCTGGGAAGTAAAGGGAGACTGAAGCCGGGTGTGCCTCTGATTCAAGGATGTGACTTCTAATTCCCACTGTCGAGAGTACCGTGCCCCAATAAACATGACTTCATGAGTGGTAGGGACTCCTCCCAAACTAGTTTTTTGTAAGAGGAGACTATTCTCAAGCTGCTGCTTCCTGATCTTCCCTTTTTATATACCTACCCCTCCCCTCCCACCTCCCTCCTCATATACATATCCCCTCAGCCATGTCCTTAAGCCAGTGGGTCTCAGCTAGGATGATTATTTTGTGCCCCAGGGGACATGCAGCAATGTCTGGGGGCATTTTTGTTGTTACAGAAGGAAGTGGGGGGATGTTACTACCAGCATCTAACTGACAGAGGCCAGGGATGCTGCTAAGCATCCTACAGTGCACAGGGCAGTCCCTCACAGCAAAGAATGATCCGGCCCAATGTCAATATAGCCCGAGGCGAGAAACCCTGCCTCAAACCCACAGCCTCCCTCTCTATCCCTTTTTCTAGGCACTACAGCTGTTGGCAGGTTTTTTTCCTCCTTTGCCTTCTGTACTCTACACAGAACAGTGCGGCAACACTGCTCAGAGAGCAAGGAGGAAGATACCCTCCAGAGTAAAGGTGATGTAATTTCAGGCATACATTCAGCTTGTTAAAAGTAACTAAGGTTACAGTAACAGGCACTGATCTAGGCCAGTGCATCGAATGGCCTGGGAATCTTATTAAAATGCAGATTCTGAGGCAGTAGGTCTGGGGTGGAGCCTGAGAGTCTGCATTGCTAACCAGCTCTCAGGGGATGTAAGTACTATGCCCTGGGACCACATGTGGAGTAGCAAATTTCTAGGCACTTAGGATATATCAGCAAACAAAACAAAGACTCCCTGGCCTTGGAGAGCTTCCAGTCTGGCTAGAAATATACTGGACCCAAAGAAAGGTAGACAGGCTGAAGTCAGAGGCACTCAGAGACCTAGAAAATCAGAGCTGGAAGAGAACTTGGAGGATGTCTGATCAAACCTCCCCATTTTAGAGGCTGGGGAACTGAGGCTCACAGTGGGGAGGGAGCTAGTCCAAGTCACATCGTTTGGCTTCCTATTCCCGTGCATTATCAGGGTCCTTAGGGACCTCTTGAGGGCAGAGGTCAGGCAAGGGTGAGGGGAATGGCCAGCAACTTTAGAGCTTGCAGGAGTAGAGGTCTGGGGGACCCCCATAGGAGGGTCCCACTGCTCTGGATCCAAGAAATCAATTTCAGTCATGCTGTTATGACACACATGCAGACACCGAGACATATTTGGTGAGATATTAGGTTCCTTCTGACTCACCCTTTGTTTTTCTGCATGACTAAATTTGTAGCAAGGATGAAAGAGCCAGGGGAAAAGAATGGAGAAGTAATGTGAATGCATCTAGGCATTCAGTCAGCAAGTGTAAAGAGTAAACTCAAACAGAATTAGGCCAATCAAAACTTCTTCTTAATCAGGATGGAGGGACAAATCCTGAATCCACGTCAGGCTCCTGATCTCTTCTTTCAGGCCCCACCTGAACAGGGCCACCTACCCAGAGCTTCAGATCGGAGAACTGTTTGCATGGTGTTAAAAAGCAATCTCCTCCACTGCTAGGACTTGGGAACATAAACTTTTAAATTCATGCCGGTTCGATTGGAATAGTAGCAAATTTCATGGAGTAGCTAAAAAGAAGAGCAACAGCTGGTACACCAGGCATTAATAATACAACAAAGGAAGAAAAAAGAGAAACTTTTCATTAGTACGTTTTGATGTCAATTTATTATTTATCCCTTTGTCAATACTCAAACAGGCAAGCTATCATTAAGCATTCAGGAAGATCCTCTAACACCACTGAGGCATCTGTCTTACCTCAGTTTCTTTTTAGAGTCCTGGAAACCAAGAGTCTGGGCATTTATAGAATAGCTGTGTTAAAAATATCTGTTGTATCAAAAATACTGTTTGAGGATCACGACTTAAAAAGATTTTACTTTAAATTTTATCAATGGCCAGTAAGCATACAGATCACGGTTCTTAATGAAAAATTTGACATAAATCAGCAAAGTGCTGCTTCCAAATTTTTAAGTCCTCAGTTAGTATTATTTTGTTTGAAACTGGTGTTGACAAAGCCAGTTTGGTAATTAGCATCCTGTCAAATCTCTCCGATCAACACCAGCACGCTGCACCTGGTCCTAGTTAAAAAATGCATTGTGGGCAATTCTGATGTGACCCATAGGGGATCCCGCCATGCGCAGAACCGCCTTTGAAGCACATGTCACCATCACCATTTTCGAGACAAGAAGGCCTCTCTCCACCCAAAGGGTCTGAGAGTTCCTGCCTGCTCCTAATGACCTGCCACACCATTTTAACTTCTTTGATAAATGTCCACCTTTGTGATGTAGACACTTGCTCCTCCTGGAAGAAGGTATCTCTTCCTGGGACAGAAGACTCCTCAGAAGTAAAATCATTGTTGAACTAAAACAAATAAAAAATGGGAAAAAAAAAAAGGAAAACAGAGACCTTAATGGTTTCTTGGTGGAGAAGTGGAGGGCCCCCCCTAGCTGGCCGCTCCTTCATCGTTCTGGGGGCCACTGCCTTTCCAGGAACTGTCGCTGGAATAGAGGTCGTGGTCCTTGATGTAGGCGAGGACGGCGTCTGGGAGCAGGTACTTCACGCTCTGCCCTTGGCCCAAGGCCCTCCTGATGTACGTGGCGCTGATCTCGTTCTTCACTGGCTCCTTGACCAGGTGAATGTTGTGCCGGTACCTCTGCAGGATGGGCAAGCCCGAGATGTAGCCCTTTGGGTCGTGACCAGCCCGACCCACACACACCAAGCCGAACTTCTCCACGATTTCCTGGATGTGCTCGTTTTTCCAGAGGTTGGGGGTCTGGAAGGTCTTCAGGACATCTGCCCCGCAGAGGAGCTTCAGTTCAGGCACAGCTGGAAAAACAAGGGTGGATCCCAGCAAAGTTACGGAAGGGTCAAGGCCAGTAAAGATAACATGTTCCATTTCAAATGTTCATAAAATGCTTTTCTTGGAATGTATTTGGAACTTACTGTCTCCATGTTCATGACTTAAACAGAAAAATCATGAATCTGAGGCCATTTCAGGGACACACAGTTATGAGTAATAATTCAGTCAATAAAGCTTTTGTTTTATATTGGCAAAATGCCAAGTAACACAAAAACAGTTTTTATTTTTAGTGTTTTTATTTTTAGGTGGATGTGCTGTACCCAGGATCCCATCTTCTGAAAGAGGTATGCTTCTTAAAGCCCTAGGACTAACGAGCTGTGGGCCTCAGGCAAGTTACTGCCCTTCTCAAAATCTATTTCAGCTCCAACACATGTGCTGCTATAAGTACGACCTCATCATAAAGGTTAATTATAAAGGATATAACCAAAAGGTCTCTAAGACCCCAGCTGATGACCTTTTCATCTGTTTTCAATGAAACAAAGCTCTAGAACAACTGATCAATGTGGATAATCCTTTGACATTTGTTCTAACAGAATGGTGATTGTGCTGATAAAAGAATACGGAACATTTATTGGATGCTTACTATGAGCACTATTGATCGCTAAGTGCCTTCTGTGTATAATGTCATTTGAGCCTCAGAACAACTTTATGAGGCAGGCATTATTGTTGTGCCAATTCTGCAGAGGGAGAAATGGAGGCACAGAGAGGCAAGTGACTTGCTTGAGGTCACTCATCTAGGCAGAGTAGTCAGGGTTCAAACCTGACAGACAACCTCTAGGTGGGGCATTTGTAACTGGTAGGCTCTGCTGCCGCCTGCTGGCAGGAACTGCACATGCACCAGAGCCGAGGAGAAGCCCTTCCTTCACCTGGAAAGGAAAAATCAAGTCCACGGTAGCAGCAACCAGCAGGGTCCTGGTCCTTCTGGAGGGGGTTTCTAGCTTTGGTAACCAGCAAGGGCTGGGCTCCTAGAGCGCTGGCCTCTCTCAGTCACCCTGGAACCTCAGTGGGGAGGGGCTTCAGGGATACCACCTGCTGGGAAAAACCCTGACTTAAATGTTCAGTTTGGGCTCCTCTACTGTGGAACCTTTGAAGGAATCTGGGCATGGACTGGAGAGATGAATTTAAAGAGAAGCACTAGGGGAAGGCCTGGGGGG